TTTTTTGCTGGTCATTTTCATCAGCAAATTCTGTTTGGTGCAGACTTGAGCTGCATGGGCTGTGTGTGCTCCAGAGAAAGGCTGCTGGTTTTGGAGTATCTCAGATTAATTCTGGAGCCACAAAAAAGGAAATCCCACTCTCCAGCCTCTATTTCTTCAGGCTTCAGATATTGTCCCAATCAGTACCTTTGCTGTTTCCTCCTTGAATTCGTTTAGAAATGCTAGGAGACGCCATCCAATCCTCCTGACTGTTCCTGAACGTCTTCTGTGGATACCTTGAGTTAGGCTAGATCCTCTTTTAATATGTACAGAGTGCATCATGCACACAGCTATGAGCCTTGATCATGACCGTGGGGTTTCTTGGCGTGGTGCTGGGCATCTGTAATGGGGTTCCTGCAGCAAACCCTAAGGTCTCACTCCGAGGTAATGATCTGCAAAGGAACCAGTTAAAACAAATGCCTGTTGCAGTTGGGATCTAGAGAGGCTTGCAAACATGCCAGACCTCCGTAATGGATCTCTGGAGGGAGAACAGTACCTGGAGGAGCTCCAAGTCCCACCTTCTTCATGCACATCACTAAAGAATAGCTCCCTCCTGCGCCCGTTGTGCCCAGCACTTTTGCTGCGCTTGGCGACAGTGCTGGTTCCCAGCGAGTCGTTCCTCTGCGATGGATGGGCTTTTTAGATATGGTATCTGCTGGGTATATTGTGAAAAACTGCCCTCTTTTGCATTTTTTTAGTGAGTTTTTCAGCAAGTAGATTTTTTTTTCCGCTTTCACAATGATTGTAACAGGGCTTTATTCTCCTGTAGCCAGCTGTTAGCAATTAGCAACTTGAGCCATTCAGTCCCGAGAACAGAGTTTAACACTTTCTTGCCTCTGTGAGGATGTTGCTAATCCTGGTTTTGCTGGCTTCCGGCTTGTACTGTAGTTTTGGCACTTTCTGTGTATGTGTGGGCAGGTCAGGAAGAAAGGCAGGAGTACAGCGGGGGACTAATGCAGCTCAGAGACCTACAAAGAAAAGCATTGAGTCGTTTACCCAGGAAAAAAATCAATAGGAAGATGATTTCCCAGCAGTTTGTACAGTGGCTTGTATTTAGTAGTATATTCCAGTGTGTTCTACACTGGGGAGTGTGTAGTTTGGGAATCCAGTGTCCTACTAGCTGAGATTTAGACTCAGTAGAAATCAACATCCGTAGTTCTTCAAACAGCCATTTCCGGCAGCATGAGGTCCTGAGTGGAGCTGAGGCTCCGCTAAATTATGGGGCAGGAGTGAAAACCATCCTTGGTGTCCTTGCTCTAGAGAACAACAGCTGCTGTAGAGCACTGGAAGATGAGAAATGACACTGCTCCCTGTGTGCATCACCTCTCCTGGGACTCCCAGACGTGCACTTGAGTGGTCCGGGAGCAGGAACCAGGTGGGGTGGGAAGAACAAACCCAGCACAGCCTGCCCCCAGCTGCTGGGGTCCCCATGTAGATCTGAAGTGCTGGAAATAGTTTGTCACTGCCACTTAGAAAGGTGAGAATTTGTCTCGCAACTGTGGCCTCCTGGGAATGATGGGGCTAGTCAAGGCCAGCCATTTAGGTTCCCTCTGTCATCAGTAAGAGAAACATATCCAGACAGGATTCATCCTGCTCGTCTTGGCCCTTGACTGAAGGATGTCCAAATTCAAGGCCAGCTTTTGTAGGCACAGAGCTGCAGGCGGGTGAGCTCTAGAGCCAGCTCTGAAGCTTTCCTCTTCTCCTGTGGAGGGCAGGATGGCCTCTCTGGCCACATCTTCCGGAAAGCTTTAGCTTGCAGTTCCCCCAGGCCATACTGTTTGTGTGACCTGCTGAGCTCCATGTACCCATCGAGTCCTGGGAAGCCTCCAGTTCCAGGGACACTGCCTGCAGCCCGTGGGACAGGCGCTCCAGCCTGTACCTGTCCTCCAGTGCTGGTTGCTGGCTCAGTGGCAGGAGCTGCCGTGGTGCTTGGGCACTTCTATGGGACTTCCCTTGTCTGCCCTCCACCCTGTTCCTTCGTCCCTCCTGTTTCCTTTTACATTCTGATGGCCATGTTCTAGCCGGTGAATGTGCCTTGCTGTGTGGCAATATAATGGGTGTGATTTAGAACATGGCGTGAGCTTTGCATAAAGCTAACGGGCGCTTAAATTATGGTGTTTGGTCCGTGCCTGGTCAAATGAGATAATGTTGCTGTTGGTGTTACACAGCACACTGTATTGTATTGCTGTGACGTTGGTGGCAGTTGTCATGATTTTCTTGCCTGTTGTTTTCGGAGGATTAGAGCAACTTAGCACAACTACTCCTGTCAAAAGCCAAAATCCTTACGCTGCATTTCAGCTTGCTACCTTCTGTTTTGGGTGGTAGGCCATGCCAGCGGGGCTGTGTGCTGGTACAGGGGATGGGTGCCCCTTCATCCATGTGCTCCACTGCAGGAGCTGTGGGTCCTTCTTTGCTGGGCCTTTGGATCAAGTGGGAAGCCAAGGCACCTGAACACCTACAGTGATATCCGGGGTTGCTCTCCTTTCTTTCTTGCTTTGAGAGCAGACTCTGGTCCTTACCCAGCCGCGTATGACTGCTGTTTGTGTGCTCTGGCTCCCTCAGCCCTGATGGTGTCACAGAGGGGAACCCCAGGTTGTTTTGGTGGGTGCTGGGCTGTGTCTTCACAGCTGCCTGTTTGCTGGGCTCTGTAGGTGACGATGAGGGTATGGACCACGTGTGTACTAGTCCTCTGCTGTCTGAGGCTCCCGTACAGCTGGCAGCTTCTAAACCTCCAGCTGAGAAGTCACCTGGGAGAGCTCTCCTAGCTCCTGTTCTCCTGCCAGGGTCTGCTCAGCAACTTGAGGATCTGTTTGGTGGCTGATCCAGCATGGAGACCCAGCGGAAGGGTATCCTCTAGCCCAGGCTACATGCCTCAGTGCAGCTGATCTGGGCATGTGCGTGGGCCGTGGTCAGGGCACCCCATGTACTGCCCAACAGTGCTCTGCTGTTTCCCATCGCCTTTACCGGGAATGTGGTTAAAGCTAAAGCCTTTGTGTTCCTGACTCTTCCCTTTCTCACCTCCGGTGGCAGGAAGTTCTCCTCTAGTGCCAAACTCTTCGTAGTTCCCTCTGTGAGTCCTGCTTTGGGAGCCTCCAGGGCACCCTGGCAAGTCACCGGCATAGCTTAACATCCACCATCCAGCCATCTTCAAACTGCTGCAAAAACATCTTTAGACAATCTCCCTCTGCGTGGCTGCGAGAAGTCTCTGCTCCATGGCACTTGCAGTCTGTCATGGGATGGTGGGAATTGGTGCGTTTGCATCAGAGCTCATCCCCTCCATTTCAGGGGTGGGAAAAGACGACCTTGGATGCACACACAGCTTGAGAGTTCTTGGCCAAAACCTCTTCTCTGCTTGCCAGACCCGCCTGCTGAGAGCTGGGCTGCCTTTCTCTCCAGTGCTTTGCTTTTGCACACTTGCCACCCGAGATGCCACAAAACCACAGAACCTTGGGGTCGCCCTCCTCCCAGCCTTGGCCAGGGTGCTCACACGGCATGTGAGGGGTGGCTGGAGCAGGAGGGGTCCTGGTGATTTTAGGGTGTTTTTTGGGTTTACTTGCATTATCGCATGGCTGAGCGCAGCACTGCCAGTCAGCATCTACTGATCATTAGTTTCCCCTCCTGCATGAGCGTTTGGCTCTTTTCCCAAGAAGGCCCTTAGTTATTTTTCAGGCTCAGAGCCATCTTTTCTGACGGAATCCAGCAGGGACAATGGCCAGTAGCAAATCCTTAGGAAAGAGAATAAAAACAGAGCAAGCCTCAGTGATTCTAACCCTGATTTAGCTTCTGGGCGTCTAGCAATTTTCGGCTGGGGGATTTCCTGAGCCAAAGGTTTTACCTTTGGATTTAAGAAGCTGTGGTGTGTCTTTCTGTTGTGAATATGTCCGATTGTTTTGGTATCCACAGCAACTCAAGGACTGCTGTGACTTGTACAGCTTAATTATGTTGGGTGGAAAAAATACAGCCTTTTGTTACAAATCTCTGAGCTAAAGGCATCTGATGCTTTGTCGTCCTTAGATGCCTGCATGCACTGGCATGGTGATGGTCCCTTTTTATCCTCTCTTGCTTCGCTAACAAATCCTTTTACTACCACTCTGAGGATTTTTGAGCTGGTCCTGGCAACTTTTCATTTATTGATTTGTTCTGTTTTCTCCTGACCCTTCAGTATGAGACAGAGCCTCTAACTTGCCTTCTGTAAAGCTGTTTTCCTGAATGGGAACCTCCCAAGGTTCTTTGTAGTGAATGTGGACACAAAGAATTCACATAACTTTGCTGATAGGACCTTGTGGTCCTTTAGGTGTTATCATGGTTTTCCACTGAAACTGCCAGCATCTAAACCCTTTGCTATTTTCCTTGTTTCCAAACAGGAAATTAAGTGTGCTCGCATGTGTGAGTGCATATGCTCTTTTGGCAGTCATGTGGACATGTAGGGAGAGATGATCTTTGCCCTGTTTTAGACATTTATTGTAAGGTGGTGTGACAAGCTCCAGTGTGCCCACTTGGCTACTTAGAGTAGGTGGCTGGTGCAGGTAGAGGTGTGCATTGGGTGGATAAGCCCCACGGGGAGCCTGGTTGGACTGTCCAGGTTCGTTTTAAGTGTGGCTTCGGTACTTGTTAATAAAATAAGGCAAGTGAGGAATTGATGGGAGCGAGATTACTTTTGCATTGGACTTTGTTTAAGAGCAGTTAAGAGTATGTCCACACAGTAGTCATGGCAGCTGAGCCTCTAACAGCTGAATTACATTAATAGCCTTAGAGATGGTATAGGCAGTCAGGCAATCATTGGTTCTTGGCTAAGCCTCTGATCAGGTGATGGGTCAGAGTAGGGCTGAGGTCCAGGCACTCTTGAAGGCACGGAAGGTTGCCCAACCCCTCCTGCAGCAGTAGCAGTATAGCAAGTCTGCGCCACAGAGGAGACCTGGCTTTGGAGGACTCTCATCTTGTCTCTTTGCTTTGTCTTTCAGAAATGTAGATGGCAGCTGCTGTCTTTGAAGGACTCGCCCATCTGACGCTGCGCAGTGCCTCCGATTGCTACCATGATCTTCTGCATGCTGCTGCTGGCCTCACTGCCTGAGCCATCTGGCACCGAAGTCAACCCTGGTAGGGAGCTGCCAGACTGGGAGAGGACCCTGATTTCCCACCTTTCATATCCTCGTTCTCAGCCTTTCTTTGCCTCTCATGGTGAATGAACATGACAAATGCACATAAATATAATCACTGATGTAGTTCCTGAATGTCCTGGACTGAGGTGGCCAGTCTTCCTTGACAGCAGTGCTGGAGTGGGATGCCTCTCCTGACAATCCCAGGAGGGATCAGGCACATGGATAGTCCCCTTTCTCTGCCAGCCCAGGGGGTCTGTGCTCTCAATGGGCTTTTCTTGAGCTCTGAGTAGCTCTTCATCACTTTACCCATGTGGCTTGCAGAATAAACCTGGCTCTAGACTGGCTCAGAGATGCAGTGTTCACTGTGAAAAGCAAATTACCAGGTAGCAAAGCATTTGACACAGCTCTCCAGCCAGCAGGAGGGGTTCTGGAGAGAAAAGTGCAGAAGGAAAGGTAGAAAACCCTACCTGGCACAAAGCTTGGGTAGGGATATGAACCTATGAGTCCCTGTGGAGGGCATGACCTCTTATCCTACAGCATTTGGCAAGTTACAGTCATGGTGGTGGTAAGTAAGGTAACAGTCTGCAGTATATTGCAAAAAATCCCGGTAATGAGGTGGTTTCAGCTGGAGGCAGTCTGTGAAATAAAGGAGTTGAATCCGTTCGCAGCTTGGCTGAAGGTGTGGTGAGGCAGCAGTGCTGCCCTGGGGCCTTTGCTTGCTCTGCTGGGCCTGGCTGTGTTTGTGTGAAGCCCTTTGATTGTGTCTGGCTCTGACCCTGCTCTAGCCTGTGGATCTTTGCAGACGTTTGAGGTTTTGCTGCAAGAGCCAGAGATGAAGTGAGGCCGGTGGGGAGCTCATCAGGTGCTCCTGTGCTCCCCTGTTACACAGCTCTTCCCTGTGCTGTACACCCCCCACATTCAGCTTTGAACTGGGGTTGCCATCTGGTTCTGATGGTTAAGACCTAGTGGAAGGAGAGGGAAGATGGCAGCTTGGAGGGTCAGTCACACATGGATGTCTTATGGGGGTGGTAAGTACAAAATGCCCAAGGGTGCAGGAATAGCTCCCCCCCTCCAGATCCATTGCTTATCTTGACCCTCCCTGCACTGCTCCAGGAGTAGTCTGAAGCACCTCCTGCATTGCCTTCTGAACCATGGGGGTTGCTTTGTGGATTTTTTCAGATGTATTTAGGAAGGTTCTTGTGGAGGACTGGCTCTCCAGTTCAAGAAATATAGGGGATTATTGGTGAGGATGATCAAGGGAATAGAACATCTCTCTTATGAGGAAAGGCTGAGGGAGCTGTGTCTGTTTAGCCTGGAGAAGGCTGGGAGGGGATCTTATCAATGCTTATAAATATCTGAAGGGCAGGTGTCAAGAGGATGGGGCCCGACTCTTTTCAGTGGGGCCCAGCAACAAGACAAGGGACAACGGGCACAAACTGGAACACAGGAAATCCCATCTCAGCATGAGGAAAAACCCATTTACTCTAA